TCTCCTTCAAAAGGGGGTTTGGGAAGGATTCTTCAAGAAGATGACATTTCAGTGGGCGTGCATTCATTTATTTTTCAAGTATTGGCTGAGGATCTGCTGGTAGCCCAGGCACTTTCCAGGTGCTGAGTCTGGCTCCTACTAAGGGGCTATCATCACCCTTGGAGAGCGATGAATCTTATTTCCAGCGTGCCCCTGACGTGATTCATATTTTAAATGATGATGTAATTGTCACAGCCAGGAGAAACTCTGGGCAGTGGGAAGAAAACCAGGAGAAATCAAGTGTCAGGTGGATGCCTCCACCTCACTGCTGCAAGACAGAGTCTCCATACTCTGTCTTCCGCCCCTGTAATGTGGAGAGAGATCTGATAATCCCTCAAAGGTCCTATGGCAATAAGATTCTGAGAAATGGCCCGTTGGACACATTTGTGTCTGATGGGGTGGTCTGGTGAAGAAAGAAGGAGGTGGTGGTGATTTTCTGAAAGCAAGATGAGAAAACCTAAGAGTATAGAAAACCATTAATGATTCTCTTTCAGACAGAGGAAAAGGAAGGGGTGAAATATCATCAAACCAACGGGCGTATCTCAGGTCAGAGGAAGGAAAGCTAGCCAGCACATCCAAGTGAGATTTTCATTTCATTGCTTTGCGTTAAGTTTGCCATGGATTTTTGGCAAACAGTCTTTATTTATTTAAATGATTTCCTTCTTTATTTTGGATGTTTAATGGGAGAGGCTGAAGAACTTTATCAACTGCCTTTCTTGCTATCATATTTTTATATCATTTATTGATATATTTTTTCCCCTGTAAATTTGTCTAAGTGGTGAATTGTATTGAGTATGTATTGGTTGCTGCCTTGTTTGGTGCAAATAAGCTTAGATGTGAGAATGTCTCTGTAAGTTGTACCAAACAGTAGCTCTCCTTGTCCTATTTTAAGTGCTTTTAATTTGAAATTCCCCTTTTTTGGATATTAATGTCACCATTCCTGCATTATTTTTGTTTACACTTCTCTAGTGCCTCTTTACTACTCCATATCGTCAACCTTCTTCTTTCTCTTTAAACAACATGGAGCTGATATTCTTAACCTAGTCAGGCAGATTCCTTTAATAGTTGAATTTTTCCTGTTTGTACTTAACAATTGATAGATTTGATTATAATTCTTCCAGTTTATTTTTATTTTGCTTTGTCATCTCCCCTTTTCTTGATTTTTGCTGGTTTGTCACGTTGCTGTTATCTTTTTTCCTTTTTATTAATTAAAGAATGTTACTCTGTGCTTCCCTCCCTCTAGTGGGGACCAACCTACTCCCAGTGCTATTGGTAAAGGTCCAGAACTTATCAAGAATAAAGATAAAATCTTTATTTGGTAATGGGAGTCCATAGAGAAAGCACAGCCTGGTGTTGGGCATACCTTTGGAGTGTCTGAAAGAATAAAGATGATAGAACAGTGTCGAGAGCAAAGGCATGAAACTCAAGAATTCCAAGATGTCAGTCCCCTCTCAGGGTGAGAGACCACCTTTACAGACATGCAGGGTTACAGAGATGACATCCATACATCCACATTAATTGTAAGGAAAATAGCCAAACAGAAGATGGGTGAGAACATACTTGAAGATGACGAGGAAAAGAAAGAGTGCCGACCAGGGAAGCCTGCAATGTTTGTAAGTGGCTCTGAATGTATAATGATAAAGCGACATGTTTCCAACATACTAAAGGTTTCACGAGGCTTTCTTGCAAAACAGAAGGCATTTGGGAAGGAAAAATCTAATAAAAGCCTGGAACTGAAAATACTAAACTTGCAGCAAAAGTCAGGATTTTTATATTAAAAGCTTCCTTGGAGTAGGCAAGTCTTTTCGCTTCGGGGAGCCTTATTTTTTTGGAATGGGATAAGAGGTGGGGGGTCGAGGTTTATTTCAGTCATCACATGGCTTTGCTCTTTGGCCATTCCAGAGACTGTGAAATCGGGGCAAGGTTTAGGGGAACTTTTGCCAAGTAGGGGGTAGACCTTACCATTACTGAATCCTGTACTGGCCCAGAATCGACACTGGCTGTGATAACACAAGCTCTGCAGCTTGCCCTTCTGTGTTCTGTAAACGGACTTTCACGGCATTTAAACTCCAGCCAAGTGATATTACCTGACTTTGGGTGTTTATGGCCCTGCACGTTCCTTCTGTGTTAATCGCATCCTATGGTGGCTGAGTGGCTGTGGAAGGGTATGGAAGGAGGGGACATTGGCCCTTTCTAGACAAGGTTAAAGTGAGAGTGGGTTTCATGAAGGAGAGGAGGTCCTAGGAAATTCAGCATGGTCGGCGGGGAGGATGCTACCCGCTCCCTGACCTTTCAGATGAGCCCAATGGGAAAGGCCAAGACACAGCTGCCAGGAGCCATGGGCCTAGAACAGGGCCTGAGGCTGGTGGGGGCAGACTAGACAGTGGGATGGGCTGGCAGTAGGGCTGGTCAGTGGCTTTACTGGCATGCTTGGGATCAAGCTTGGCAGCCGTCTCTGAAAATCATGTGTGCTGAGCCCCGTCTGAAGTCTCCTAGCTCACATCCAGGGGAGCCAGCATCCTGGTTTGTCCAGGACTGTTCTGGTTTTAACACTGAAAGTCCCAGGAAACACCGCAGTTCTGGGCAAAGCCAGCCACATCACACAGTCTCACTAATGCCTTTGGCACTCTTTGGAGACATATAAAACCGTCTGGAGACTCTCAGGGAGTTAATTAGATCATTCATAACCAACAGTTGGGGGAAAATTGCCCTGCTTATGCCTTGCTCTATTTCCTTTAAGCAGATTCCCACTGTGTATGTGTGTGCACCTGCGTGTGTGTGCATGCAGGTGTGTGTGCATGTATTTCCTGAAGCCTGGAGCACTCTGGCATTGGCTCTGAAGTTTGGGAACAGATCAGGCTGAGCTAAGATTATTGTTGAGGGCTGAATCTAGGAGCTTCCTTCCTCTCTTCCTGAAACACACCCACCACTCATCTCCAGGTTCTAATGCTAATGGTTAAAGCTGCTGTTCTTCTCATTGAATTGTTTTGTCGCATCCTTTCAGAGCTTTTGTTTGACCTCCGTCTCTAAGTCTATTCCTTATTACTTTAGGGAAGGGCCTTTGCCAGGTCGTAAACTAGGATCTGTATTTACTAGCTGGGATCCCTGCTGTCTCTGATTCTCACCCCATACACACAGACATTTTCTAAAATCCTGTCTTCCTGCTTTATTCAAGGGAACCACAGATTGCTCGTGTTCTAGTGGTTGTAAGATTCATTGTTAACTGGAAAATCAATCACGGTGTACAGTTCAAATACACCAAAACTCACTTGATTAACAAAATTACTCCTTGGGAATTCCCTGGCGGTCCAGTGGTTAGGACTCTGTACTTTCGCTATCCAGGGCCTGGGTTCAATCCCTGGTTGGGGAACTAAGGTCCCACAAGCCGCACCGCGCGGCCAAAGAGAAAAAAATTATTCCTTGATAAAAAAAGTCGACTTAATGGCAATAGGACGCCGTTGGCAAAGGGAAGGACTTGGAATCAATTCAGCGCCCCCGTTTGTGAATGATGCTGTCTCCCGTGCAGAGGGCACGGGATCTGCAGAAGGCTTAGCGTGTGGCCCCCTCTCTGTTCTTCATTCCTTATTCCCTGTGTCGTCTGGCCCAGAAGTTTCTTCAGAAAGTCCCACTGCCTCATTTGAGCTTCGTCCTTAAATAGCCAAGGCCGTAATGCCTGCGGATGGTCCTTGTTGGATGCCTCCTGAGACAATGGAGCAGCCTTACATGTGCAGCCTTCCTTGGATGACCATGACGGACATAGTGATATAAGGAATAAGCTTCTGGGACAGGACGTGAGCACTCTGTGAGGGTCATACGCCGGGTGGGTGAAGATTCTGCCTGTTTCTCCTTCCCACCAGTGGCTTTGGTAGTTTGGTAGTCAGGGTTTCTCACATGCCCTTGACCTTCTCTGAACTCCACAGAAGGGGCTCAGATCTCTGGGACACACTTGGCAAGAGTTCCTGTCCCCTATTTTGTATTTTTCTCACCTAGTTTACTTTTCACAGTACATTAAGGAACCAGCAAAGAAAGATTCAAATAAACTTCCGGATACTGTTCTTGCTAACACAGGCAAGTTCACTTAAACTCTTTTCCAGGAAAGGTGGAAAAATGCATGGTTGACTGGTTGAATTTCACCACTGAGTTGACATGAATATGATCTTTAATCATCCAAGTGTGTTTGGCTGCCGTATGGGAAACTGCCATAGGCGGCAGGGAAGCGAGAGCTATGAAAGGATGTTTTTGCTATTTGAGGCTTTTTCCTTAATCGTGAGTCTAATCCTTAATGCTGTCTGTAGCTTTCTGCTTTGACTCCATTCATTCTTTCAGTATGAAAGAATATTCTAGAAACCTTGAAAAGTAATACAGGTCTTTACTGTAGATTTTCTTAGACAGGCAATACGGGAGCTTTAATGTCCATAGAAAGCTTTCCGAAGTCCTCTTTGGACGGTGTTCCTCTCCTCCAATGTTTCCTTCCCCAGAATCTGCTGAAAGGCTCTCTCCTCTCTCCAGGATGCCCCTTTCCCTCTCCTCCCTCCACCCCGTTGCCTTCAACCCTCTGCTTCAGCCCTGCCCACCCTTAAAGGCCTGCTTACGTCCCAGACTTTCCCAGCTGCCTGAAGCCCTGGGGAAGTGGATCTGGTCTTACCTCCGATCACTTTTCTTTTGGAAACTTGGCACATTACCTGGATTCTGTATCTCAAAGAAGAACCCAAGTGATAACTCTGTAAGCAGGAAGCCTTCCTCCTGTGGGATGGAAGGCAGTTAGGGAGGGAGGGATGCTCTAACACACACTAATGCTTTGTGTCTCTGTCACACACACACACACACACACACACACACACACACACACACTCCTTTAATCACATTCTTAAGAGGAAGATACCTGATTCATAGCTGAATGTATGCTGTCGCCAAAGAACATGAGAAAAAAATTTAACTGGAAATTTCTTTTCTGGTCCTAGGAATTTGAAGCCTATGTAAATGCTTCTGGAGAACATGGAATTGTGGTCTTCTCTCTGGGCTCAATGGTCTCAGAGATTCCGGAGCAGAAAGCTACGGAAATTGCTGATGCTTTGGGCAAAATACCTCAGACAGTAAGAAGATTCTACACGATTTCTTTTTATCTGTCTTCACAAGAGTTCTAACCCCAGGCTTTCAGTACCTAAATTAATTCTATGAGTTGGGCTTTAGGCTTGGGTTTCCCTGCCACTTCCCAATTATTAATCCAAAGTTGTTCTTTTTTTGCAATTTCACTGTCAACTACTCTGTTAAAACACGATCCACTTCGCGAGGAGGTCTCTTTCTCTCTAAGTGACTCAAAAGTATATTAGAATTTATTTTTAAAAATAAAATGGGCAGGATAGTGTTTCTTCATATTGCATAAGAATATTTCTCCAAAAAGCTCTTGCTTAGAACCCTGGATTTGTTTCTTATATTTCTGCTTTAATAGTTCTATGCCCACTCATTTTGTTAAGTAAACTTTCCCTTGAAGTGCAGAGAAGTGCAAAACTCGTAAATGTACAGCTTGATGAATGTTCATAAGTTCACAAAGTGAACATACCCGTGGAATCAAGCCTCTGGAACAAGACACAGAATGTTACCCATCCCCAGAAGCCTTCTTAGTCACTCTACCTCCCACCCTTGCCAAGGTTATATTCATTCAGAGAGACTCCACTTTCTAGCTACTATAGCAGATGTCTTGCTTTGTTTTAAAAATCATATTATGTTCCTAAACTTTATTTTTTTTTGTTTTTGCTTCTGCAAGGTCCTGTGGCGGTACACTGGGACTCCACCACCGAATCTTGCGAAGAATACAAAACTTGTCAAGTGGCTGCCCCAAAATGATCTGCTTGGTACGTGGGGAGGATTTGATGTGTAGGTAAAACCAAGGTTAAATTAAGAAAGTGGCTCAGGCAGGGCTACTCTAAAGAATTGTTTAGCTGGAAAATATTATGGCCAATGTATCTCACGTTGCTTTTTACCAAGTAGGACATCTCAACCCACATTTTCTTCTGCACATTTATGCAAGGGCCACATGTGGATGGCACTGGGTCCTGAGAGTGCTTTCAGAACCTAGACGATGTCAGGTTGTGAAACTCAGTGGCTTGACTGCTGGCATCCCTCCCTGTTTTGCTTCTCAGGTCACCCAAAGACTCGGGCCTTTATCACACATTCCGGCTCCCACGGTGTTTATGAAGGAATATGTAATGGTGTTCCGATGGTGATGATGCCCTTGTTTGGTGATCAGATGGACAATGCAAAGCGCATGGAGACCCGGGGGGCCGGAGTAACCTTGGACATCCTGGAAATGAGTTCAGAAGATTTAGAAAATGCCCTGAAAACTGTCATCAGTGACAAAAGGTAAGAGAGAAGCTACCAAGGAATACTACTTATATTTTGGCCATTGCTTCACAATAAATCTTCAGATGTGAAAACAAATACATCAAGATCTAATTTATAAGTAAGATGATTTGGGGTTATTATTATTCCTTTTAGAAAAAGATGCTTTAATTCCTAGGGAATTTATCACAGAAGTGATCTTAAATATTATTTCCCCTGGTATACTTAAAACTCCAATTAAAACAAAAACAATGTCAATATAATAGATGTCTGATCTATAAGTTCCTGCAAAGAGAGTATTCCATTACAAGAAACATAGTGTCCGTAAGATAAAAACAAACCAGGTGCTTAGAGGTAAGGCTTTTCCGAGCACTGAAACCTGTGAGAAATTTTGTCCGTGGGGTTTATTAGTGTGTGTGTGTGTGTGTGTGTGTGTCATGTGATATGACAAAGGCTTATAATAAAAGCAAAGTCAAGTTTGTTCAAATGTGGCTATGGAAACAATTCAAAAGGCAAAAAGCCACCAGATCAGATTATCTCTGCACGAACTTTATTGTATTGCTACAAGTGATAGGCCGATCAAAACCTTACGAGAAGTGATTGCCAGCAGTGGACTTCATCCAATGATCAATCATGTATGTGCGTGTGCACATGCACGTGTGTACGGATCTATGACAGTGTCTGGAGCCTTCACCCATACTTGCTTCATTTTGAAGGAGGACAGATGTGAAAAGACTGGAGTGTGTTCAGATGGGAGGACACACTACACAGGGGGACACTTTGAAGGAGGATAGATGTGGAAAGACTGGAATGTGTTCAGATGGGAGGACACACTACACAGGGGGATGCCGAGCCTGGACAAGGAAAACGTGCTAGAAACGATGGTGCTCGCATGTGTGTGATGCCTGTGAATAAAAAGAATTGTCTGCATAACCCCAGGGTAAAGTGCTCACAGTGTCAGTGACAGCCTTCCCAGAGCAGTTGCTCTGGTTCTTATCCATCTTTCCGACTGGCTTCTGCAGCCCAGCATGTCGGCATCGGGCGATGCTGCTCACATAGCACAATTAAAGCCCGATTTCTTTCCAGATGCTGGAAACTCGTTCTTGAGGCTCATATTAGTGATGTAATTTTGACCTTTCGTTCAGTGGTATGGACGACTACTTGTAACCTAAAAATGACTTGGTAGAAATTCTCTGGTACATTATCATTAACAAAAACCAAAAAACACTAATCGGTCAGCTTAAGTTACTAACTAACTTCATCTATTCATTTCTGAGCCATCTCCGATTGTGAATCTCCATGTTTCCAACACTCTAAGCTGGAACTGGACCTACATAAAATAAAAAAAAGTGGAAAAATTTCCAACATCAGATTATACAACCAGGCCATATCAGGTGCTCACTAAATATTGAATGAATGAATGAAAGTCCAAGAAAATCTATTTTATAAGAGAAGATTTATATACAAGGAAGATGTTTAACAATTTATGGCCAAATATTAATAGTACATTATAATAATATATCCAAATAAAATGATGGACATATTCAAGAAAAGCAATGATCATAACTGCTCCTGGATAAGCGCCTCACTTTTCTCGTTCTTCCCTCTTTTCTTTCCCTTTGCCTTCTTCTTGTCCTTCTCGTCGTCCTCCTTCTCCTTCCTCTTTTAGTGCATCCATACTAAGGGTTGAAGTACGTAACCCATTTTGGATTTGGATATTCTGACTCAGCTGTCAACACAGTCCAAAATAAACAGGAATCCATTTTTCTTTAACAGGCGGCAAAGACACTGCCTCATGCAAAATTTAGCACTTGGAGGTTTGATGTTTCGACAGTTGAATTGAAAGTATAGCACTGTCTTGGAGATGGCACTTAAAAATGGCTTTTACTTTGGCTAGAAGTGATTGTTTACAATCTCATTGAATGGGAAATCATTAATAATTTCTGAGATGACCTTTTCCTTTATTTCTTTATCTTGTTACCAAAAAAGTATGATCAACTGCCTACAAAGATATCACTAAAAAGAAAAGAAGAAAAGTAGGAAGCAAGTTTCAAATAATTTAAAATTATAGTTTTGGCTTCCAGTTTTCTTTCTTCCTTTCTCCCTTCCTTCCTTTCTTTCCTTCTTTCCCTTTCTTTCTTTCTTTCTTTCCTCCCTCCCTCCCTCCCTCCCTCCTTTCTTTCTTTCATAAAGAATATTTAGTGTGTGTTTTCTTTTTTGATTACAATGGAAACTGCCAAGTTTGGAAAATCTGGTAGCGTTCCTAACTGGAAGCAAGCATAGAGAGAGGGACGGTTCCCTACTGTTGGTGTTCCAGGCATTCACATAACTGTCTTTGTGTGTTCAGCTATAAGGAAAACATCATGCGCCTCTCTAGCCTTCACAAGGACCGCCCCGTGGAGCCTCTAGACCTGGCTGTATTCTGGGTGGAGTTTGTGATGAGGCACAAGGGGGCGCCACACCTGCGCCCTGCGGCGCATGACCTCACCTGGTACCAGTACTACTCTTTGGATGTGATCGGCTTCCTCCTGGCGGTCGTACTGACAGTCATCTTCATCACCTTTAAGGGCTGTGCCTTTGCCTTCCGGAAATGCTTCGGGAAAAAAGAGCGAGTGAAGAAATCTCATAAATCCAAGGCACACTGAGAACTGGGTTGGAAACTTGCAAAAAGAGTCAGGTTAAATTCATGTTATGCTTATTCAAGAAATACTTTGCCAGAAAATAACACCCCAGAGTGTGTCTTAAAAAATAAAAAGGATCTAAACGTTAGTCACACATATAGGTAGAGATAGTTAAATATCTTTTCTGCTCCCTCCAGTATCTTTAATCTGGACTACATTTGTCATCTTTCAAATCACTTGCAAAGAGGGTTGGATAGGTCCCTCCTTCAATCTGCAGTACTTTACCTACTCAGAAATGGGGCCTGTTTGGGAGCCACCGCTTCCCACCACCGCTCCCCCCTCACCCCCGGATGAGCTGTAACCTCATCTTCTTGCATCTGTAGGTGGTTGTGATAGATTCCTTTACCAATAATGGCTGGTTCTAAATTATGCTCATGCTTCCCAGATGTCACTTTGTGCATTTAAGTAAGGAAACGTTTATTCCTTGTACTTGATATGATATGAATGAATGGTATAGATTTCTGACTTTGGGGGGAAAGAATGATGTATAAAATTGATGGGTGATATGCCTGAGCAGATAATCATTGCTTGAGCCAAATGGATCTGAGTTTGACAAGAGCCTAAATTATAGAGACTGGCAAGTATATTTTCTCTGATGTAATAACTAAAAACACATTAATAAACTCGTATAAATTATATTTATTAGGTGGTCTCTTCATGGGTGTTGCATTTATTTATTGTTAAACTACATGTTCTAACTACAAAAGTAATGCATGATTCTGACAGAAAACTGGAAAAATATAGAGGTGTACACACACAAGGAAATTAAATTCACCATTAACCATGTTACCTGCAAGTAACCACAGTTAGTAAATATTTTGGTAAATGTATATAGTTATAAAATATTGCAAAGATACCAAATATATCTAGTGTTTTCTAACATTCTTCCTTCACTTCATCCTATAGTGAATGTTCTCTCCAGGTCTTTGTATAATATTTAATGTGTTTTAAGTGGCCAAGGAATATTCTATTGCATGAATATACCAGGATTTATTTAACCACTACTTCCTGGTGTATTCACTTTTATTTTCTTTGAGAAAAAAGACTTCACCGAATATCCTAGTAGCTAAGTCTTTGTACATATTCATGACTATTTCCATGGGAAAGTGCCTTACAACAAATAAATGGTTGTCTGTTTCGGTTCCTTTTTTTTTTTTTTTTTTTTTTTGTGGTACACGGGCCTCTCACTACTGTGGCCTCTCCCGTTGTGGAGCACAGGCTCCGGACGCGGAGGCCCAGCGGCCATGGCTCACGGGCCCAGCCGCTCCGCGGCATGTGGGATCCTCCTGGACCGGGGCACGAACCCATGTCCCCTGCATCGGCAGGCGGACTCTCAACCACTGCGCCACCAGGGAAGCCCTTGTTTCGGTTCCTTTGAGGTGAGGATCCACAGGCAAGGAGTTTATCTGGGAAGTGAAGGAAACCCTGAAGGGGAGTGGAGAGCAGGATGGGGAGTGATGACCACCAAGAAGGCAGCTCTCTGTGGGCAGTGGGAACTGAATCCTGCTGGTTGACACTGGGAGCCAGTGCAGAAAACATGCCAGACTTACCCAGACTGGAGGGGCAAGGCCCTTGGGGATCTGAGCACTTGCCCCTGTCAGTGATTGGCTGCTCCCAGGTGGTATTAATTTCCCTGCGCTTCCAGTCGGCCACAAGAGCAGGCAAGGAGGGCTTTAAAACCCAGAGAGATCCCACCGGAGAGAAATGCAGGTGTGGTGTTGGAGGTCAGGCCCTGTGCACTAAGAGATAAGAACACAGGGATCTGGGTGGGGCACTGATGCACGGTTACCTTGGGCAAATGGTTTGAGATATTCCCAAACTGTGCCAGAGAGGTTCAATCAATGAAGGAGCCAGGTTCTCACACTCCCTTCAGTATAAAGTATTATCTTGAAAAAAGAAAGTATCAGTTTCACAGGCAAAAGTGGGATTTTGTTTTTAATTGCCTGTTATTATTATTAAAGGTTGAATTTTTTTTTTTCAAGCTCATGAGCCATTTGTGTTTCTTTTTTGGAGAGTATACTTTGCCTGTTTTCCTGTGGGGTGTATTACCCTGATGAGTTTTTTTTAACTTTTTTCTTGTTTTCCTTCCCTTTATTTTTATTTTTTAAATAAATTTATTTATTCATTTAGGCTGCTTTGGGTCTTCGCTGCTGTGCGTGGGCTTTCTCTAGTTGTGGCGAGAGGCGGCTACTTTTTGTTGCGGTGTGCACGGTCTTCTTATTGTGGAGGCTTCTCTTCTTGCGGAGCACGGGCTCTAGAGCGCAGGCTCAGTAGTTGTGGCGCATGGGCTTAGTTGCTCTGCATGGGATCTTCCCGGACCAGGGCTCGAACCGTGTGCCCTGCATTGGCAGGCGGATTCTTAACCCCCGAGCCACGAGGGAAGCCCCTGATGCTTTGTTGAGTGCTTACTGAATCACTGAAAATACCCTCCTGTCACGTGCATTTTTTTCTTCCACTTGTTCTTTAATTTTGTCCATACCTTTGTTTGTTGGTTTGTTTTTTGCTTTGTGTTACATGTAGAACTTTCAAATGTGTGGGCTTCAAACTGGAAGACTGGGGTCATGGCTAGCTAGGATTTCTCCTGACCCCAGCCCAATTTATTCCTTCCCTGGGTGGCTTTTGGAACACAAGCCATTCACACCCGTTCCATCCCACACCTCTGAGCCCCATGTTGATTCGTGGACTGTGTCCCCCCTCCTTCAAGGTCCTTCCCGGTCGACCCAGGTACCACCTCCCAGCCTCACTGCCCACGCCTCCCTGCTACTCCACCCCTCACCCCCCCAAGCCCCAGGGACCCCGAGCTGCTCTGACCTCCCCCAGTTGATGCTCCTGTGCACCTCTGTGTTCCTAGTTGTTTTTTTTGTTTGTTTGTTTTTGCGGTACGCGGGCCTCTCACTGCTGTGGCCTCTGCCGTTGCGGAGCACAGGCTCCGGACGCGCAGGCTCAGCGGCCATGGCTCACGGGCCCAGCCACTCCACGGCATGTGGGATCTTCCCAGACCGGGGCACGAACCCGCGTCCCCTGCATCGGCAGGCGAACTCTCAACCACTGCGCCACCACGGAAGCCCCGTGTTTTTACTTTTTAGACCGTCTTGTTTACAAGAGAGAGAACCCAACTTGGGATATCTTAAGCAAAAAAAGAGGTCATTTTGTAAGGAGACATGCTTCCTAAGGGTGAGAGGCTCACGGCCAAGCAAGCCTCCAGAGGAGCTGAGCTGAGTGGAGCCTCTCTGGCCCCCTCCCGTCGCTGCATGCTCTGGGCGCCGGCTTTAGGGCTCCCTCTCCTCTCGGCCTTCCCTGCTCCTCATTCCCGGAAACCGTCATCCCCAAAACCCCACAGTGGACTGACTGCATTCTCTCTTGCCCAGCGTTCCGAATTCCTGTGAGAAAGAACCTGATTGGCCCAGCTGGATCACGTGTCCACTCCTTGTCTAATCAGGAGTGGTGGGGGAGGGATTATAGACGGAAAAACGCGGCCGCCAGGACCCCGTAACTATGACTCTGTGGGTCAGGGAAGCGGGAGTGTTGTGAGCCGGTAAGGTGCCCCCAAATGTGTTCACTGTATACATACTCTATTTCCATTTTTTCCACTTTCTTACAGGCCCTTCCATGCACTTAAGCTCACAGGTTTCTACAAATACCGTGTTTTCTTTTTTTCAGGTTGGTTCCCATAGAAGCAGATGTGGGAAGCTCAGTTGAGTGATAGCACTAAGAGTGGCTGAGTTTATGAGTGCATTGTATGTGAGTCCTATATTACTGTCATACTCAGAAAAAAACTATTTTCATTTGGAAAACCAAGCAGAACCCACTTCATTCTCCTGGATCTCATCCTCTTAGCATCCTCTCTAGATAACGTGTTTGGGGCACCTCACTTTTGGCCATGGCGTACACTCACCATATATGTAATAATAATAGAAAAGGACCCCTTCTTCCACCCCTTCTGATAGCCATGTTCTTCACAACGTCACATTGCAGCTCTTCCTATCAAGAGGGAAATCTATATCCCCACCCCTTGAGGCCGGACTGGCCTGTGACCTCCCTTGGCTGTTAGAAGGTGGCAGAGGTGAAAGGTACAGTTCAAGTCTAGGCCCTGAGACGCCTTGGTGTGTCTGCCCGCTCTCCTGGAAACCTGCCCAGATGCTCTGAGAACAACCTGGGCCAGCCCTGTTGCATGATGGGAAACATGGTTCCTGATCACCCTAGTCACTTCAGCCAATAGGAAGCCAACTGCTAGGCATGTGTGTGAGGCCATCTTAGACTAGCCAACCCTCACCTAACCCACTGGCTACCACAGAGGCATGAGTGACTCCAGTTATGCTTGACTGGACACAGCCCGGATCAACGGAAACACCTGGCTGACCCATAGACTTGTGAACAATAATAAACTGTTGTTTTCAGTCATTAAATTTTGAGGTAGTTTGTTACACAGCAACGGCTAACTGATACATTCACTTCTGGCTCTGAGTCCACAATCTTTCATGTGTTGTGTCTTCAGACTCTCAGAGGGCAATGATGTGTCCTACCCACCTCTGTATCCACCACAACATGGAGAGCCAAGCTTAGCTGCATGGTGCAGGCACACAGTCAGAGTCTGTGGGATGGAATTGCAGCCATTTCACTGAGTAATCTTTGAAACAGAAAAGAAGGCCCAGAAGGGAGTGGGAGGTAGGGCCAAGGGGACTGTGAAAGAAGGGGCATGTTATAACTGCCTTCTGGTGTCTGTTCCATCATGGTTTACATGTCTCCAAAGGGCAGACTGAGGAAAAATGCGTGAATTTTGCGAGGATGAGTGTTTGGCACTAACTACATAGAGGAAGCTCGTTTTCTAACCACCGGGATTCGGTGAAGTAGAAACGGGCTACTGAGGGTCATGACCTCTGGGGTATGAGAGGTGACAAGCAGAGGCTGAGGAGCTCCCTCTTGGCAGTGTGGACAATGGGAAGTTAAGTGGGAATTTTAATTAAGCAGTCTTAGACCTAGGTGGCTCTGGGTCTTGATCTGTTGTCCTGTAATGCCTAGAAATTCATTATTTTATTGCTCAGACTGTTGACCGGGACTGTCTCTCGCAGCTACAACTGACAGAAAAATCCTTTGAGCCCCACTTTTGGTTCAGGGAAACAGTGTCACTGCCCTGTCTTTCTTTGAAATTCTTTATCTTCAGGAGGAAAAAGGATCTGGGAGCTTTTATCCCTCAGTGTTGACATCTGTGTTGATGTTTGTCAGCCCTTAAGAAGTTGCTGATGTCAAGAGAGCCCCTTGAGAGGAGCGATGAGACCTGCCAAGGGGGATTAATCATTAGTTTTCAGCATCCAGAAGAGAGGGAGAAAAGGCCCTTCCTAACCAAGTGTAGCTATCGATCACTGTGTGACAAATTACCTAAATGTAGTGGCTGTCAGTAGGGCCACACTGCCCCATCCCGCAAGCTGTCCAGCCCTTGGGGAAGAGAAATCCTCTTCTCAGGACCTCTCTGTCACCCCCATCTCCTCCAGCTGCCCAGATCATACCTCCCCACGCTGGGCTCCTATCACTACATCCCCAGGGGACTTAGCTGTGAATCCCCCCCTCTATTTCCTTTCCCCAAACAGACCACCATACCTCACCCCACATATGGGTGACAGAAATGTTGATTAACAACATA